GATATACTCCTAAATTAATAGGTCAATATGATAAATTAAAATATGAAATGGAATGGGTGTAACAAACGACCTGAATATATTGATTGGCATCATTCACATTTGAACTCCACGCTCCATACAAGTAATCTGGCCACTGTCCATTTGATGTTGAATGGACAAAATAATCAATGATTCCTCTATTGGCCCCGTACTTTTGTGGTGAATTGGCGTAGACTGAGGACGATGAGAGAATGACACGGTCATCTCCTTTCACTAGAGGATAGAGACAGTCTTCATTACGACAACCAAGTAAGTCAATTCGCATACTTATTGCACCAGACCATGTCTGTGGGATGATTCTAATGTATTTGGATTTTGTTTCTGGAATTACATGCCCTACTTTGTCATCACTGTTTGAGTTCCCTGCAACGATGCCCCCTACTTGGTTAAAAGTAGCACCGTCAACGCTTTGTTCAATCGCGAATGTCGTAACCCATTCATCTCTCTTATTGGCGCCTTGTGTTACGATCCCACGAACTGTCCATAGGTCAGGAAATTCCGCTTGCCACCATTGTGATGCGTCAAACACACCAGCTCTCCATCCACCATAATATAAACGGTTATTCGGAGTAGGCTCGATTGTTGGCGTATCCATGTAAGACCTGTATGCTCCATAGATCACATGGTCATCGCCGAAGGTTGTTGAAACTGTGAGGGATACAATCGGGTCATTCTTAACTAAGGAATCATTGCATCCATTCGATCCATATGCGCATTGCAAATCAAGCCACAAAAACATGGATAAAAATGTAAGTACATGTGTGAGTTTATCCATTTTTAGCTTTAAATCATGTTGCGCCAGTTAGGATAATAGTAATTTTATTCCATTATATTGTATTTTGATAGATTCTAACGTGAGTAACATATGTCTCTACCAAAGGAGGCCACGTATAGCTGAACTTTAAATATATCGCATTACCTACGTATACGTCCATACGATGAAACAATGACGGTGCTATTAAGTTTGTAGTAACTAGGTATACGCAATTCTGATTTTTATAGGACTAGTTGATTGAAAGCATAAACTGGTAGAGCTCATCCAACGGTTTTTATATTTTACTAAATATGAATTTACGTTAGCCGCGGTGTTATCTTTGCTGTATTTAGGTATTTAACCATCTTACCGTGACAAATAAACGATGAATAATTAAAACTGTGGTTGGCTTTGTATATTTTACTAATTTGATTACTGACAATCAACGATGAATAATTCAATATTATAGCGCAGAAACAATGGTTAATTTCAAAATATTTATGTTACAGTCCCACGGTAGTACCTTAATGTGATATTACATAGAGTTCAATAACTACTCCCTACGACACTATTAGTCCAATCTGTCATATTATTTTGTCATAAAATGCAGTACAATTAAGACACTTGATGACAAATATGAGGAACTATAAAAAGCAAAAGATCAATATGTGGGCAAATTTACATTAGTTGATATTTTCAAAATCAGTTGTTCTACTGAATCCTGTGCTGTGTGTGTTGATACCAGGTACATTAGATGTGTGCTATTTTAAAGTTATCACAACTAGTTATCATAATCGTAACGATGTTTACTGAAAATATTGCTTATTATTTCTCAAAAAAGCTTAAATTATGATTTTTTTGTCAAAAACAAAGTTTTGGTTTTGTTTGTGGTGATAAAAACCGGATTACAGTAAATCGAAGAGTCGCAATTCAAATTGATCCCTAATATAAACAGTTTTAGTGCATCATGTTAGATAACTTTAGTACTAATTGAAAGATGTCGCCTGTTTGACGTGCTGTCGGCAGCGGAGTGCAGTCGCCAAGTCGTTGTCTAATATGGCGGTCTTGGTAAATCAAACTGGCCAGTGATGAATAACCTCTCAGCTGGATTCTTCAATTCTATTCAGTAGTGTATATCCCAAAAAATCCAAACACGCATACAGATTTGACCGTACCATGTCAGAGGATTAAATGGGATAAACCTTGCTTTAAAGGGAGACACCCCGTGAAACACCTAGTTGGTATTTGAATCATCGTTACGTGAAACAATATGTGTATTTCACTAATTGTTATTTCCAAATGTTTTACTGTATTTGATATTAATATTTGCATTAATAAACAACTCTTATATGTTTTGACTTTCAGTCAAAGCTGATGGGAAGTTACCCAAAATGGCCTATTATTCGCAACGGTATGGGCCTATTATTCGCAATAGGCCTAATAGTAAAAAAGAATGCGAGAATGATAATATAAAAGGACAAAACACATACATGTTTATAAATAATCATATCAATCTGCATTTTCAATAAAAGGCGTCGCCTAGATTCACGAGAAGTACTAAGAAGTAAAAATATATTAATTGATATAAAAATGGCACAAAATTAATCAAAGCATGTATGGATGTGTTCAGACGAATTATATACTGGAAATTATGAAACAGATTCTACGTAAAAGTATCACTTTTTCATTCACTTTCTGATTGTCATTTAAGAAAATGTTATTTCACAAGCACGGTTTGAGTTGAAGTATGAATAGGCACAGAGACCCGTGCAAGCGTGGCAAACTAAAGCAAGTCTCAGAAAGAAAGGAAACACAAAAAATCAAAACAACGTTATAATATTATAGTAATATCCTATGGTTTTGAAAAAATATCATTTATATCCATGAGTGGATATCGATATCTTTACGAGTAAGCGCAGCGAATGAGTGAAGATATTGATATCCATGAGTGGATATAATTTATATTTTTGAAAAACCATAGGATTGTCCGTTTATCCCATGGGAAATCTTAAATATTTTTTTAAATATTTCGAAAAAAGTTTTTGAAAAGAAAATTTGAAGGAAAACATTTTTGAAAAAAAATTTTGAAACAAAATTTTGAAGGAAAAAAATTTTGAAAAAAAAATTTGAAGGAAAAAATCTAAAAGATTTTTTTAAGAAAAAATTGAAAAAAAAGTTGACAAAAACTTATTGAAAAAATCTAAACCATCGAATATCACTTTTGAAACCATCGAATATCACTTTTGAAACCATCGAATATCACTTTTTGAGAAGTGATATTCGATGGTTTGAGAAGTGATATTCGATGGTTTGGGATTTTTTGCTAAAATATGATATCTTGATCCACATATCAAATATATCTTCACCTGATATTCGACATATATCCTTGTAACCATTGGATAAACATGTTTATTCCATGATGGTGAAATTCCCTGCAATCTGATTGGTCCATGTGACTTAAATATATCCTGTATTTACACGCACTTTCCACTTAGCATTGAATACAGAGTGAAAATGACGTCAGCGTTGGGATACGGTCCAGTATCCCAACGCCCCAGATTTCCATCCAGGATATGACTATTACTGAAAAAATCAATGGCGATCTGTTTACACCAACGCATGCTAATATTTGCATTTTGCTAGAAATATCTGATTTGAATATCAGGAAATGATACGGTGATCACCACAATTTATTATTTTAGGATAAAAAACACCCATCTGTAAATATAATAAATCAGTATGAAGCATGCACATTGTTTTCATGAACTAGTAAAAATCCAATATGGCAGACGAAAGTCGAAAAAAACGTTTCGTTACACTGTTCCAGCTGATTAAATTGAAGAAAAATGTTGAAGAAAATCAAACGTATCGTATAATACAATAAAAGCAAAACAACAAGGCCGAAAAGATTTTGAATGTCAAATGATTAAACAGGCAATGTGCCTATTTTGGAAGGAAAAATGACAAAATATGAGACATGTCACTCACACAGCCGATCAAATATGATAACAACTTCAATTTGGGATAATACTGAACTGAAAAAAAACTTACTCGCATAGAAAACGGCATTTGAAGTTCAGAGACTGAAAAAAGTGAATTACCACTTTTCACATTTGTAGATGTTTTAAGTAGCTCTTGGATTAAAAGATGGCGTATGCTTGAAAATCCTATCAAAATGAATGGATAATTAATGCAAACAACAATGCCATCTTTATATGGCATGGCTAAAAACTTGACACATATAAAATGTAACATCAAAAATATTTTTTCATGATCTAGTGTCAACTCTGATGTGGTCTGTTCTTATTTATCCATTGGAAATACTATGAAGATCAACAGTGAGACTTCATTTACGCACTTTGTCCCTTAAAATAATGTTACAGTACTGTTAATGTTAACATTGTAACTAATGTTACAATGTTCGCAATTATTACAATAATTTACAAATCCCCAGATTCAATTTCAGAGAGGGATATTAACGATGCAACGAATTATCAAACGACTAATATTAGAAACCACTTGGTCAATACGTCCGACATAATCATCGAAAATTGTATTACGGAGGAGGTAAGCACAAATATATTATTGCACCATGTAAATATGAAATCGATAAAAATAATGCCAAGAATGATACTCACGCATTGATCGATTACATAATTGCCTTGGTGCTAGAAATGTGTACACGAAAGTACAACGGGGAAAGGACCAGCAACTTAATGAACCTAACCATTCGAAGCAATAATCCAACGTGAAAAGAAACAATCTCTAATATTCCTCTCATATTTTGTGAATCATAGAATATTTCGACAAATTGAACATGGTTTTAACAACGAATGACAAATATTGTCACTTAAAGTGATATCACAATGTTCAAAATCAAAATCGAAATCCTTGGAATAACTTTGTCACGTGACAGAACTAGTAAAATAAACTAAATTACTCATCAGATAACAGAAAGATAACCCCAGCACAAACTTTGAATTTATAAGTTTTGTTGAAAGTTAAGTTTGAAAGATAAGATTAGATTAAAAGAGAGTAAAATAAGGTTAGCACTGATATTGGTGGATATAGGACTTCTTCGATGGTGACTAGATGGATAAATATGCGATAGGACATGCAAAAAGTCCATGTGACTTCAATATTGATTATGCTCCCCTGTCTCAATGTAGCTTTAAAGCAAGTATATTGGTCATATTGTTTACTATTTCTAATCAACGATGTCCTGTTGGATTTCACATATTTTCCAGTTACCCGTTCCAATGTTAAACGTGCCGATGTGGACGTCGCTGCAATACGTATCACAATTACATATATACTCACACACGTCTCGATACCCATCGAAATACCGAGCCATGAAGGTGCACTTTCTGTACAACCTTTCAAAGTGTGGTTGAACGGGAATGACTTCTGAAGAGTCGCAACCTAAATTGTTCCCTGTAATAGACATCTTTAGCGCAACAGTAGAAATGTTAGATAACTTCAGTACTAGTTGAAAGATGTCGCCTGTTTGACGTGCTGTTGGTAGCGCAGTGCAGGTCGTCAAGTCGTTGTCAAATATAGCAGCCTTGGTGAATCCAATCGGCCAGGGGTGAATAACCTGGTTTGATTCATCAATTCTTCTTAGTTGGGTACATCCTAAAATCCCGACACGCATACTGATATCACCGTACCATGCCTGAGGGTTAAAACGGATAAACCTTGCTTTAAAGGGAGAGAGCTCGTGGAACACTTTGGTATTTGAATCACTGTTACCTGAAACAATAAGTATATTTCATACATTCATCTTACCGAATGCTCGACTCTATTTGCTATTAGATTCATGTTGACGTTGTCCATGCTCAGCAGTGTCCTCTATTTTATTTTTTTAGACAAATGCATTATAAAACTTTGGAAAGCACTGAATCTTAATCTACATGATTCAAGAAGTATGCTTTTCGATACCCTAATAAAAGTATTGCGTAAAAGCATTCTGACAATTTTAAGTTAATAATAAATGTGATTGGTTGTATTCTCTTGAGTTATGTTTAAATTTAGTAATTTAAAATATATTTTACCTATCCAATTGTTTCCGATTTGTCTCCATGTTAAGGCATCCATGCTTGACTTAAGCTGATAGGAAGTTACCCATTCTGTCCTACCATTTGCCCCCTGTGTCACAATGCCACGAACGATACGCACCTCGGGAAATTCAATCTGAAACCAAATGTTACCCATAGTAAAATGGCATGCGATAATGATACTGTTAAATGATATCATGTACTAATGTATCTGCCCTGTCAATATAGGAAGAGTCACCTGGTTTCACAAGAAGTATTAAGAAGTAAAAGGAACATTAATTACTATAGAAATTACACAAAAAAACTCCAAAAGAGATGTGATTTTTTAACAAAACACTAATCTAAATAAAATTATGTAAATCAAAAAAGGCTCTACGTAAAAGTATCCGTTTTTCGATTAGACTGCAATTTTACTATACGATTTCTGATGAAGTATGATTATGTGCAGAGACCCAGGCACGATGAATCAAGTGCAAGTGCCAACGCAAAAACATCAAAACTGATAAAATAACACAGCAAGAAAAATAAAACATCTAAGACTACACCAGTAATAAAGAAACGGAACCCCAATTATTCGAAATCACAATCCAACCTGAGATTATGTCCAATCACCCTACCCCACCATTTTGTACCAATATATCACAATCCTAGATCCTAACACCAAAGGGCTTGTAAATACTTGTACATGTTGAAGAATAAATCTAAAATCGATAGCCAAACATCTAAGACTACACCAGTCATAAAGAAACGGAACCCCAATTATTCGAAATCACAATCCAACGTGAGATTATGTCCAATCACCATACCCCACCATTTTGTACCAATATATCACAATCCTAGATCATAACACCAAAGGGCTTATAAATACTTGTACATGTTGAAGAATAAATCTAAAATCGATAGCCAATACTCAAAACATCAAAAATAGATACTACAGATGGTATTCATACAATACAATAAAGCATTCAGTCTCAAATGATGTGGGACAGTATATAAGTATGGTAAGCTAAAGCATTTCTCCGAAACACCAACTATCAAGACAGTTTGATGTACTAGATAATGCAAACAGTGTATGGGTGTAACAAACGACCTGAATATATTGATTGGCATCATTCACATTTGAAATCCATGCTCCATACAAGTAATCTGGCCACTGTCCATTTGATGTTTCATGGACGAAATAATCAATGATTCCTCTATGGGCCCCGTACGCTTGTGGTGAATTGGCGTAGACTGAGGACGATGACAGAATGACACGGTCATCTCCTTTCACGAGAGGATAGAGACAGTCTTCATCACGACAGCCACGTAAATCAATTCGCATACTTATCGCACCTGACCATGTCTGTGGAATGATTCTAATGTATTTGGCTTTCGTTTCTGGAATTGTTTGATCCGTTTTGTCATCATTGTTTGAGTTCCCAATGAAGATGCCCCCTACTCGGTTAAAAGTTGCACCATCAAGACTTTGTTCTATAGCATATGTCGTAACCCATTCAGCCCTCATATGGGCGCCTTGTGTTATCACACCAACGATTGTCCAAAGTTCAGGAAATTCCGCTTGCCACCATTGTGATGAATCGGACACCCCAGCCTTCCACCCACCATAATATAAACGGTTATTCGAAGTGGGTTCAATTGTCGGTGTATCCACATAAGACCTATATGCTCCATAGATCACATGGTCATCTCCAAAGGTCGTTGAAACGGTGAGGGACACCATTGGGTCATTCTTAACTAAGGAATCGTTGCATTCATACGATCCATAGGCGCATTGCAAATCAAGCCACGCAAACATGGACAAAAGCGCAGCTACATTTGCGATTTTATCCATTTTTTAGTTTGTAATAGCTTACTGTGGTGCCAACCAGGTATAGTAATTGTATCTTTATTCCGTTATTTTGCACTCTGATGAATAATACTATAAGTTAAACATGTATATACAATAAAGCCACGTATAGTTGTCCTTAAAACATATGTCCTATGTTTACCAAGACACGATGCTATAGTTACTAGTCATGCGCAATTCTTATTCCATACGGTATTATTACACCAAAAGTAGTGCGAAAATGGCCTTTTCACGTGTTGGCATAAAGTTTTGATGACATTTAAAGACATACAAGGGCCGATCAAAAAGTTTCTTACCGTTGGCTCTAGATTTTATAATAAGAGGAGTTGGATGCTCAAACTTTTACATGAGACAGGGTAGTAAGTTTGCTTGAGACTATCTGAGTTTCATTCTAATTGGTTCATTGGTAGTGACACAGAGTCAATACATATTTTCATTGATTGAATTAGGTGGAGCAGCGTTTTTTATAAAAAATTGTGCTGAGCTGCAGTTTTGGAAATTTTTAACACTAAGCTGTCAACAGACTGTAGTTTAATCATGTTTCATTAGTTTTTCTGCTAATATTCATTCTCATTCAAAATATTCAACCCCAGTTGCAATGCACTTCCTAAATGTGTCCACCCGATCCAAAAAACACACGTTGAAGGCCTTCGTATGAGAGGTTCTGAATGATCTCGGTAAATTTCCAGAATCACAACTCAGCAGATATTTTATATATAACGCTGCTCCACCTAACTTTGTCATTGAAAATAAGAATTGACTCTTTGTCACTACCAATAAACCAATTTATATGAAACTAGTACAGTTTCAAGCAAACTAACTATCCTGTCTCATGTTAAAGTTTGAGCTTCCAACTCCTCTTATTATAAAATTGAGAGCCAATGGTAAGAAACTTATTGATCGGCCCTTGTAGTTCCTCTTTCACGTATATTATCTCATGGAAATGGGCATACCAGCGCAAAGATCTTTGTTCCGTGGTGAAGAAAAGCTATCAAACATTGTCTGAAGAGCAGATTTATCTCCGTAATTCTAATTTTAGCATGGCGACCTTGACCTTGAAAAAATATAGCCATTTGGGCGATGATAGGTGATTCAAAAGTGAAAATGAGTGCTTTTTTCGTAGTTTTACTTTGACCAAGCCTAGAAAAAAATCGAAGTGGTAAACCTACCCCCAATTTTTGATATTTTTGTTGTCTAGCAGTGTCCTAGATGATATCAAAGTTTAAGAAAATTTGTATGTCTAGAAATATTTTATAAATTAGTGCCATTATGGTGGGTATGGGTGCTTTTTTGCTCTCATTTTTTAGCCCATTTCTATGGTTGCCATGGCAACTATTAGGCTTTGGTGACCATGCCAACTTGATTTTTGAAGCACATCCACCTGATAGTAGTTGGGCCAAGTTTGATGGAAAATGGGCCTGGTTTTATATGCTGGCAGCGAGGTTGATTGTGGCAAGTAGTAACACGGCAAAACAATGGGGGAGTCATACCATACGCACGATATTGACTACTTAACTGGAAGCACTAATTCTTCATGGTATGTACTCCAGAATGTGAAGCCTCCTAAGCACACTGTAGCGCATGCGCAGCAACATTGACACTAAATTGAATTGAGGTGCATGTCTTAATATAGCACATACAATTCATACGTCATGTCCTGACACAGACCTTCAACATCAAAGATCAATAAGCGAATACCCTGTGATTAAGAGTGCATACGTAGGCCTACTGTTTTATTTGTCGATACTGATGTGTTTATTATATACATTAATTTTTTATATTTCAAAATGTAATAAAGTTAAGGCATATTTCATAAACTATATTTCGTACTCTACTTTTCTTTCACAAAAATCAGATATAGAGAACAAATGAATTTCATCAGTTATTGCCCCGAACCGGTCCGATTTTCTCGCTGCAAGCAGATTGCCCCGAACCGGTGTGTCTTCCTGCTGCAAGCAGGATGAAATTCTTTGTCACAAAGTTTGGCTTTTTTTTAAATCAAACGCGCGTCATTGAAACTCACAAGATGTAAATAGCATGTCATTTACATCATACCTTGATGAGGAAAAATAGATCTTATATGTTAGAAGTACTAAATAAAAGTTATCGTGAAAATGAGACAGTCGTTCTCGAGAGAAAAGAGCATAAATGCGCATTTAGAGAGTTTTGGTCCGTTTAAAAATCTGTAAAAAATTGGGGTACTTAAAAGCATCGGGAGATACTGATGTGATGTGGTGTTGAAATGTCAGCAGAAATACATATCCATACGATAATCGAGTGAATCAGATAACAGATTTTTCGAAAACCCGTCTCGTGCTAAGAGTGTAAAAACTTGTATTAACATGCTCAAAAGTGCCAATGTGCACATCAATGTCAAGCTAAATCAATGTTGTGTCTAAAGCAGGTACCCGATCTACTCAAAACAGCTTGTCCTTCACGTATACACGCTTAGCAAACACGGCGAAATGGTCTGAATCTTGGAATTTCGTTCGAGAGCTAGTAATGTTTGCTCCGGTCTTCGTCATAAGTGTTTGTGATACCAGGTTCTAAACTGGATTTAGTTAAAAGATGCTCTGTCACAGATGATCATGATCTGATTCTATCAAACCATTGTCCAATATTTATGGAATTTTGCATCGAACAAAATTTAAAAAAGTATAGCGAAGTAACAATGCTGAAGTGGAATAAATCCTCCAGAGAAGATTTAATGAATTATCGTGAATCACTGAAGAGAAAATTAAGGTCAATTAATATGAGCAATGCAACGAATGAATCAGATCTTGAGCATTATACATCTGATATTATGAATGCTATTAAAGAGGCAGCAAATAGTGCAATTCCAAAATCGTGTTTTAAACATTTTTTAAATCCATTTTGGAAATTTGGTAGAGTTAAAGAACTACATACTTTAATGAGAAAATCCAGACGTGTCTGGATCAGTAACGGTAAACCAAAAGCTAAATGTAACATGTTCTTAATTGAATATAAAAAAGCGAAGCGAAGTTTCAGGGCTGAATTACGACGTGCTAAAATTATGTATGAGCGTTCTCAAGATACAAAATTTGAGGAAGCTGCAGATTTGAATATACACGATTTCTATAAAGTAGTTAGAAAGTCTAGAAACCTAAAAAGGGAATCTCATGAGCTCCTCGTTGATGGGCAAATTGTCCGTGATCCAGCCAAAATTCGTGATGCCTGGGCAGATTACTATGAGGAATTGGGAACTCCTTCTCTCTACCCACATTTTGATAACGAGTTCATGAGTAAAATAGAATCTGATTTCAAAAGATGTTACATAGAGTCATATCATAATGAGGATAGAGAAATGAGTGCCCCAATTTCGTCACAGGACGTATATGACGTCATTAAATCTAGTTCTTCCAATAAGGCTCCAGGTTATGACTTGATAACATACGAGCACTTTAAACATGGTGGGAGTATGCTTATACAAACAATTACAAACCTCTTTAATACTATGATTAGGTTAGAATGTGTCCCAAAAAGTCAAAAACTTGGTACCATCATTTCCTTACATAAGGGTAAGAAGAAAGACAAAAGAATACGAACTAATTTTAGGGGGTTAACACTTACACCTGTTATCAACAAGATATGGGACACTATAATTCTAAACCGAAACATGTCTGTATTAGAGAGGGCAGGTGTTCCACATAATTTGCAATTTGCTAGCAAAAATGGTGGAGGTAGCCAAATGGCAACGTACGTTTTAAAGGAAGTCCTACATCACTTTAATGAACGACACTCTACAGTTTTTTGTGCATTTCTTGATAATCGTATGGCATTTGATTTATTGTATAGACATGGTCTATTTGTAAAACTTTTTAATTTAGGTATCAATGGGCTCTCGTGGAGACTCATAGTACAAGGGTATAGCAATACCAGTGCTCGAGTCTTGTACGATGATGAATACTCTAGGGAGATAACCATAAATCAAGGCTGTGGTCAAGGAAGAATTTGTAGTTCAATCTGGTTTCAAATCTACATTAATGACCTTATAATTGAAATGTGCCAGTCATCTTTTGGGGTTAAGATTGCACCAGATTTACAATTGCCATGTATACTTGTAGCCGACGACACGACGGTCATATCTGCCACTGCTAGTGGTCTACAAAATCTATTAGATATTGTATACAAGTACAGCTGTCGTTGGAGACTAGTATATCATGCTGGCCCACCTTTAAATCAATGTAAAAGTGCTGTAATTATCTTTGGGAAATCAAACCTAAATAAGTGTAACTCAAACTGGTCATTAGGTAAGGATTCAATACCTACCAGAAATGAACAAGTATATGTCGGCAATATTATCAACAAAAATCTCACTTCCAAACCTGCCTTGATAGATGCTAATAAAAAAGCTAGAGCGTGTTTTAACTCTTTATGCAACATAGGAATGTACAATGGAGGACTTAACCCATTAGTAAGTCTTAAAATATGGAATCGTATCATTATGCCGACGGCAATGTACGGATGCGAACTATGGTATTCTTTAAGTCCTAATGAAATTGAAACAGTAGAGATTACACAGCGTCACATAACAAAAAGATTTCAGGGTATGGTGAATCGTACACCTAGTGGAGCTGTGATAAGCTCTCTTGGGCAATATTCAGTGAAATCTTATATACATAAATTAAAATTAATGTTTCTAGGACGACTAATACAGAAAAAAATATTTATAATTCGCCTTGCGAGCACGATTGTACGAGATGTCCATAATCTGCATAGTCAGGGTTTTTTAAGTGACGTCATGTCTATTTTAGATACATATCCTGTTATCCGTCAAGAATTCTTAACTTATTTGGAAGGAAATACTTTTAAACATAGAATTATGGACAAAGGAAAATGGAAATTATTAGTAAATGGCCAAATTCAGTATACAGAATCAAAAACATGGCGAGAGACTGTCCACATTAATCCAAGATTACAACGCTTTTCAAATGTTCATGATCATATAGAGTATAAGCCTATTA